TTTCTATGATCATGCTATTTCTGCCTTTTTGTATCATGTGATTGTGATTTATCCGTAACATATGACAAAAATGCCCTCCTTCTTCACTCCATAGGAGAAAAACTGGCCATTAGCTTGAGACTTCAGTAAGGCATTTAGCAAGGTCCCTCATAATATTCTGTGGTCAAGATGAAAAATACAGGTTAGATGGCTGTACAATTAACATGATTCATAGTTGGCTGAAACAACATACACCAAGAGGTGTTAATTAATGGACTGATATCAAGCCAAAGGAGGGCTCCAGATGTTCAATAGCACTTTGCCCTTTGCTTGGTGCTGCCTGCTACCCATTATCAATAAAATGGATGAATAGATAGAACAGCTATCAAATGTTTGGGTAAAATACCCAAGTGGGTTAGAGTAGAGAATCAGAACTCAAAGTACTAAGACAAGTAGAGTGATGGGTCAAAACTAATGAAATAAAATTAAGTGGGACCCTATAAAAGTTCTGTATTTTGAACCCAAAAGCCCTCCAGAACTACTACTTCTCAAACATGTCTTCTCCTACTAGTTTACTCCTGCCAACTATTTTGCCATCTTTCTCCAGGTATGATAGCACAGGCCTGTAATCCCTGATCTCTGGAGGTTGAGGCAGGAGAGGATTGCCAGTTTCATGTCATCCTGGGCTACCTAGCAAGTCCCAGGCTAGCCTGAGCTGCATAGCAAACCCCTGTTGTATTATAAAATAAGTAAATAAAATGACATCCTTCCCCAAACTATCCAAGGGACTTGGCAGAGTTAATTTATAAACATTTTGGGGCAAACGTGCCAGCAAAACTTGATTTCCTGCTACTGAAGTAAATAGGTAAAGTGGACATAAGACTTGGAATTTAAGATCTCCCTGAGTTGGAGCTGTGGATGAAGAAATAGAGCAGGTGCAGAACCACAGAGCAGGCGTTTAATGGGATTTAGCATATTGGTTAGAAAGTAGAAGTGAAGGGCTGGGAAGGTGGCTCTTGACACCTTGCATGCGCTTGCCTTGCATGCCTGAGGCCCTGGGTTCGATTCCTCAGCACCACATAAGCAAAAAAAAAAAAAAAAAAGCTGGAAGTGGCGCTGTAGCTCAAGTGGTAGAGCGCTAGCCTTGAGCTGAAGAGCTGAAGGACAGCACCCAGGCCCAGAGTTCAGGACCCACGATTGGACCCAAAAAAAAAAAAAAAATAAATAAATAAAAAAAAGAAAGTAGAAGTGAAATGTCCCGAGCCTTGATCCTGTATGCAAAAGTTACTCGTTCAAGGGATGATCTCCATACTCTGTAGGCCAGAATGAGTCCTGGTGATGAGGTTACTCAGCACCTTTAGTCTGTTCCAGATCCCGATAGGGAAGATGCCTGGGGCAACTAGGGAGGCTACCCGACTGCAGTCGGGCCTAGCCCAGGCTGTTGTGCTCCCAAGTGACCCAAGGGAGCCGTTTTTGTTTTTTTTAACAGCCTTGCGTAGGGGAAAACTGGCAGCTAGCCGGTTGCCAGGAACGCTGCTGCCAGCTCTGTTGGGCGGGGGTGAAAGAGGACTCTGGCAGAGTGGGGGGGGGATGGGGGGAGGGTTGGTGGATTCTGACTGGCTGGGGTGAAAAGGCTCATTTGCATAATATCCTCTGACAGCTTCTGATTGGCTGAATCCAAAGGGGTGGCAGTGGGGTGATTCTAAGGGCCCAGAGCTCTGGCCAGAGGACCTTTTCGTTCCGGAGTTACCCCGTCTGGTGGGTGTGAGTTATTGTGTGGGCTTGGGGGAGCTGGGAGGCCCGGTTTGGGAAGTTTTGCAGGCAGGTGCTTGAGCCAATCTTTTGATAGGGTTTGAGAAATATGTGAGAACAGCAGATGGGACTCAATAAACTGGGAGATCGAGACCAGACCCAAGGAAGGAAATGCATGAGGAGGGGGAAGGGATGGAGGCCAAAGGGAAGTAGTTAGATAAGGGTTTTCTTGTTACTTTTTTTTGTTTGTTATTTTGGTCAGGGTAGGATTCCTTTGCTAGGTCACTTGGATTTCCGTTTTCCATAAATTATTAATCGCAGTGCTGGAACCCAGTAGAAGAGAAAAAGAGGCAGGACTCCAGCGTTGAACTCAAAGCAATATTGAGTTTTCTTCTGGATGCATACATAGGTACTTACAATATCAGAAGGATCTGGGATGGAGATCAAAGTAGTTACTTCATGAGAAGATTAACTCCTGGAAACCTTTTTCTTCAAGTTTCCTCTTTCAATATAATTGGGCATATTAAAATGTTTAAAACCACCGTGGAGTATTTTATTCTTTCCTATTGCTTAAATGCTGAGGGGGAGGGGTTCTGGCTTTTCACACAAAACACTTCTAGAGTATGCTGAGATCCTACACTAAGTACAACTACTCTTTGTGAAGTATCTTACAATTTACATAATGATTTCTATCTCCATTACCTTATTTAACCTTAACCAAAATCTTTGGCATGACCCTTTTTAAAGGAGCTCCATTTTAAAGATAAGGAAATAGATTAGAAAAGTTACTAACATGGAAGAAGCTCCATTTTATAGATGAGAAAACTGAGTGTGGAAAAGTTTCTAAGTCTATGAGTGCAAAAAGGAAGGGTGAGATATTTTGATACTGCAGTTACATAATCGTTCTTTCTCTTCTACATTCTTCTTTCCACTGATATCTCAGAATCTGTTGAACAGATAACATCTTAGTTTAATCGAAGTGAAAATGTGATTATGAGCTAGATGTCCCCTAGGGATGTCCCCTAGGACTGGGTTCTAAGGGTCAGCACTAACTTCAGCTGTCAGTCCATGTGGCACCAAGTTAGCTTTTCTTTCAAAGTAAATCAGGAAGATAGTTTCTGGTGACCAATACTAAAATACAGGTCATTTTAGGTTCTTAAAGTCAGACAAGGAGAGAATGAAGCTTGAGTCCTAATTATCTGTAGGACCTTAGGAGAAGACTGGTGGATGAGGGACTGATAACTGAAGTGAGATGAGAAAAGATAAACCAAGCTGTGTCTTGGAAGTCCTAAAGTGAAGTTCAGAAGTGCAAGGTTTATAAAATTTACATGCAGTTGGGTGCTAGTGGCTCACACCTGTAATCCTAGTTACTGAGGAGGCTGCTATCTGAGAATCACGGTTCAAAGTCAAACCAAGCAGGAAAGTCCATGACAAGTCGGAAGTGGAACTGTGACTCAAGTGAGAGAGCACCAGCCTTGAGCCAAAAAGCTAAGGGACATTGAAGCCCCAGTATCTGCACTAGCAGGGGCACGCATAAAAACATGCACATATAGCACATACACACACAATATGTTTTATACAGAGATTTAGTGCATAGCCTCGGCCCTATTAAGTAACCCTGTACTTAAGAACCAACTTTTGAAAGGGACTGCTCACAGACACACTCCTAAAAGTTATTGGACACATCCCCACTTTTCTGTAAAATGATGAAAAATAACACCTGGCCAAACTTCTGTCACCTCCTTGCCAAAAGGACACAAGGCCCAGAGAGTGTCTCCATTGCTAGGCTCTGATCTGAGAGGGGGCGGGGGAGGAGGGACAGGCATAGCTGGCAGCAGTTGGGTAGGAAAGATATGTAAAGACCCTGGCAGGAGGGAGACCAAAGCCTCAGAGCGCACTCCTCCAGTAGCTGACCATCTCCAGAGCAGCGGCTAGAGCACTGCTTGTCCACGTGCACCCTGCGTGTTCAGCCATCCTCCTTACATAAGAGTCCCAGGATGAAGTTAGGGCAGCTGTCGGTCCTTCTTCCCTAATGTCTAATAATAAAGTCAGGCTTCAGTTTCCCGGCTGTGGCCATTCTAAATTCAGGGTCGCGGGACTCACTTTTCAACCCCAACACGTGTATTCCGATCATCCTACCCAGCCATCGCGAGCGCCAGCCCGACTCAACCCTTCCTCCACCCTCCCCACAGCCCAGGCACCAGCCAGCCCCCTGGTCCCAATAGTGGCGCCTTCCCCAGCGCAGTGCCTGGCTCCCCGCCCGACCCCCTCCCCCGGTAGATGGGTAGCCTAAGGCTTAGAGCAGGCGGGGTGCCGCTCCACCATCTCTCTCCCTCCCTGCCCCCCCTGCCCTGCCCTGCCCTGCCCCAGCGCCCTCCCGGCCCGGATATCAGGCGAGAGGCGGAGCTGGCCCAGCGCGCCCCGCCCCTGCTGTAGAAAGGGCCAAGCGAGTGTTACTCCCGGTCATTGGGCTGGGGCCTTTTATCTTTGCGCTGCCGAGAGAGGCTGGAGGAGGAGGAGACTACGGGGGTGGTCCTGGGCGCCGGCAACACCTTTCCTGGACTATAAATTGAGCACCTGGGATGGGTAGGGGGCCGACGCCACCACCAGCGGCAACAATTGCAGTCCAGCTACTGGCCGCGGCAGCGCCCTTGGGCAGCAGCTGCCGGCAGCCACATCACTAAAGCAGCCGAGGAGCGGAGATTTCGAGGTGGAAGAGGAGGTGGGTGTCCACGCCCGGGTCACTGCCCCAGCCAGCGTGGTTTCTTGAGCTCTGGCTTTTCGGAGAGAGAAGCCGGAGGATTGGGGGAGGGGAGGATGGTGGAAAGCCTCTTCCTTTTTCCCCTTGTTGATAATCTCGGTAATCGTGGTGGTGAGACCGCCTGATCTCGCGGACCCACCTCGGCGCTGTCCCAGCGCTGTCCCGGACTAGAAGGAGTGGGGGCGGGAAGAGCGCGCTAACCGAGACGCCAAGCGCCCTAGTCTGATGAATAATCCTTCTCCCCTCATCCCTTCTCCCTATCAGGATAAGGCTCGACCCACCAACTTCCCATCGCCATCGCGAGCTTCCCAGCGTGGAAGCCGCGCATCCTGCAGTTGCCGGGCAGCAAGCGAGACGAGAGTTGGAGAGAACGGAGGTGGAGCCGGGAATCCCGCCTCTCCAGCTAAGAGCCAGGCCCCGAACGCGGGCCTCGGAGAGCGCGTGAAGGCGGGTGTCCTCTTGCCCTGGCGGACCACCCTCGTGCCCTTGCATCTGTAAGCTTCGGCGCCCTCCCGGCTACCATGATGCAGATCTGCGACACCTATAACCAAAAGCACTCGCTCTTTAACGCCATGAATCGCTTCATCGGCGCCGTGAACAACATGGACCAGACGGTGATGGTGCCCAGCCTGCTGCGGGATGTGCCCCTGGCGGAGCCAGGGCTAGATAACGAGGTCGGCGTGGAGGTCGGCAGTAGTGGCAGCTGCCTGGAGGAGAGCACGACCCCGACTCCCAGCCCAGGCAGCGCTAATGGCAGCTTTTTTGCGCCTTCCCGGGACATGTACAGCCACTACGTGCTCCTTAAGTCTATCCGCAACGACATCGAATGGGGAGTCCTGCACCAGCCGACGCCCCCGCCGGCAGGGAGCGAGGAGAACAGCGCCTGGAAGTCCAAGGACATCCTAGTGGATCTGGGCCACCTGGAGAGCGCAGACGCCGGCGAGGAAGACCTGGAGCAGCAGTTTCACTACCACCTGCGCGGGCTCCACACGGTGCTCTCCAAACTCACCCGCAAAGCCAACATCCTCACCAACAGATACAAGCAGGAGATCGGCTTTGGCAATTGGGGCCACTGAGGCAGGCCGCTTCCGGCTGCCCAGCACCCTCTCTCGTGCCCCCCCCCTTCCACTGTCTTTCTTCAAAGCTATTTTCTTCCTGGTTGTGGGTCGCGAAGGGCAGACTACAAAGTTGTGCTTTGTACGTGCAGGGGGCTCTGTGGGGTTCTGTGTTGCAGAGGGTGGCATTTGGGAGAGGCGAGGAGCGAGGGAGCGGGAGAAGGAGGCCTTAGGACCATCCTGGGATGGGAACTAACTGCATTGTGCATTGGTGGGAACGAGACTGGGCTGACGCCCGCATTCAGCCGGTGCCTTTCCTGGGGTTTCTTTTCTGTTCTTCTTTCCGGAAGAAAAGGGGCCGTGGCAGGGCGCGGCGCTGGGTTGCCACACTTGGGAGTGCAACCCCAAGCCGGGTACTGCGGAAGGCGGGGCGCGCAGCCTCCAACCGGCCCTGTCGTGGAGCCGGTGGAGGCCTTGGCATTGCTAGGATTGCATCAGTTTTCCTGTTTGTAACCGTGGCCCTTGTCTTTAAGTATTTCAGATCATCTTGTTCTAAAAACTTCGGTGATTTCCATTGTCCTTGTGATAAGCGCACAAACTGCACTGTCGGTAACCGGTACTATTTTATTAATGATTTTCTGTTACACTGTATAGTAGTCCTGTGGCACCCCCACCCCATCCCTCTCACCCCACCCCACCCCACCCCCACCCCAGTGTGTGTAAGCTGGCAATGCGCCAGCTTGTATGAAGCTTGCCACTCAGCCAGTGAAAATAATAACATTAGTATGAGAAAGTGGATTTATTCTAAGTGGAATCAACTGACATTCTATCTGTTGGCTATAGAATGATGACGGGTTCCACTGTTGTTATATGTCTTCAATTTATTTAAAACTTTTTTTAATCCAGATGTAGACTATATTCTAAAAAATAAAAGCGCGAATGTGTTAAATAAACTGGACTAGCGTTTGTTGCTCTTTAACTTGCCAGTGCAGTGGCTACATTAGTCCTTCAATAAAGTTGAATTGATTTTTGTTTAGTGGAAGTGAAGTTTATTTTCTCTCTAATATTCGCAGTGGTAGAACTTCATCTCTGCAAATATTTAGCTGAGCTGATGTATTTTGAAACGTAAAAACTTTAATCTAAAGGCTGACCTTTTTTGGCTATGGAGAAGTGAAATTTACAAAGAAACACTAGCTACTTCGGATTCACACAAGTTTTTTACATTGCTCTTAGGACCGACTTAAATATATTTTAATATGCACAGGGCCCTGTTCCAGTACTTCCAAACCAAGTGCCAAACCCTTGAGCAATGCCCAATATTCAGTTTTACGGTGACCCAATCAGGGCCACCCAAAGTCACTCAGGAATCCTTTTGAGATGCCATAGGATGCTCAGGACAGGTCAAAGGGTGTCGTTTGCATTTTATTTTTTTTTATTGTGTTGGAAGAATAAATATCAGGTTACTTAGTTTTCAGTCTTGAAGTCACATTCTCTAAACACATAAAACTTGGATTTATAGCATATATAACTTTGCGGTTTACCAAAAAAGCAAATGATGTGTGTATGTGTGGCAAGCAGGGGCAGCATGAAAATATTATGGCTGCTTGTAGCAGCCATGAAAGAAATGGAGAAGTTGTAAAACTGGGATGCCCTCCAGTTACCAGAGTAAGTTAATCGTTAATATATAAAGATAAGGTTGTCAGCACCACTAGTCAGGTAGAAGGTCTCTTGTTTTGTGTTCTCTTCAAAATAGCTAAGTGCAAGCAAAAAAAAAAAAAATGAAAGAAAGGAAATTACAGGATCTCTATGGTACAAAAAAAGCACAAACTCAGGAGATAGAAGATTATGGGTACAAAGCCTTGTTACTATTAATTGTGTATATTTAATTCTCCTAGCCTTTTGCCAAGTTGGAAAATAGGCCTAGCAATTTGTGGATTACCTCATGGGATTGAAGTGAGAATTACATGAGTTGATACACATATGGGGAATGTTCAACACCTCAGATTCCTTAGGCACTACAGGGAAGTGCCTCACTGGTTTTTCTTACTCTAAATATTGGTTTGTGTCTCCATTTTCTCTCCTGCCATGAAAATTTAAGGCTTTGGATAATCTGTCTACCTTAAGGGAAATTATCAGTTCAATTACACACACACACACACACACACACACACACACACTTTTTTGTTTTAAATCATGAAGGAAAACCCGAAGGAAAACAAAAAAAAAATCATAACACTTTGGGCAAGTGATGGCAAGAATTAAATAATGAGGTAACAATTACTAACTTCAAAACTGCTTCAAGTACCTTTTTTCCCTTGTAATGGGATTTAAATTCAGGACTTGATATGCCACATCCCCAGTTCTTTTTTGCTTTAGTTATTTTTCAGATAGCATCTCAAGTTTAGCTCTCAGCTGGCCTCAGACCAAGACCTTCCAACCTACACTTCCTACAGAATTACAGATGCACATCACCTCACCCAGCTTTTCTGATGAGATGAAGTCTCAGTAACTATATTCCTAGGCTGTAACTTCTGTCCTCCAGATGTCTATTTCCAAAGTAACTAACTGGTAGTGTAGGTGTCTGCCACTGGTAATGTAGGTATGGGCCACTATATCTGGCTTGCTTCTGGGATTTTGAATTCAGCCTCATGTTTGCTATGCATTATTACCACTTGATCTATGCCTCCACCCCTTTTCCATTTTAGTTATTTTTCAGATAGACTCCTGTGCTTCTGCCTGGGAGGACCTCAGGCCAAGATCCTCCTATTTATGCTTCCCACATAGCTGGAATTACAGGCATGTGCCACTGAGCTTAGCTTGTTCTTTTTTTTCCCTTCCTTCTTTCCTCCTTTTCTTCCTTCTTCCCTCCCTCCCTTCTAATACCACACATACTTATAGTGTACTTGAATAAACTCACCTCCTCTTTTATTTTCCCATTCCTTCCCCCTTTGTCTCCTTTTTTCAGATAATTTTGGTGAGTTTCATTATGGGATTCATTCCTTTTCTTGACCCTTTGTATCCTTCAGCCAGCTTGTCTGGAACTGTGGAATTCTCTTATGTGACCAGTGGTTCTCATGTTTGCATGTTGAACACAGTTCTAGTTGACTTAGGGCCTCAAACCTTATGCAATGTAACCTTTTGTTTTAAAGGGATTTATTTTCCTTTTTCTTTTTTGTCCATTGTAGGAATTGAAATCAGGGGCCTGGGTGCTGCTGTCCTTGTGTTTTTGCCCTCAAGGTTAGCGTTCTACTGCTTTGAGCCACACCACCACTTCCAGTTTTCTGATGGTTATTTGGCGATAAGAGTCTCACAGAAAAACTTTTGAAATATACTGAAAAAAGGTCTCACAGACTTTCCTCCCCAGGAAGGCTTCTTTTTTTGTCATTCTTTTTTTTTTAATTTTATTTTTTCATAAGTTTTTTTATTGTGAAAATACTGTACAGAGGGGTTACAGTTACTTGAGCAAAGTAATGAGTACATTTCTTATCAAGCATTGTTGCCTCCTCCTTTGTTTTTCCCCTACCATTCCTTCCCTCCCACCTCCTCAACTACACTCCCCTCCCCGCCCAAGGCTTCTAACCAGGATCCTCAGATCTCAGTCTCCTGAGTAGCTAGAATTACAGGTGTGAGCCGCCAGTGCCTGGCTGACATTTATCTTCTTATGGGTCATCTAGTATGTTTTTTTTGTGTATTTTTTAAACCAGCCACTACATCCTTGTGCTATTCTTTTTTAAAAGTTTTGGATAAAGGAATCTGTTCTTTAAAGTTTTGAAGGAATATTTTTTCCTTCCAATAAAAAAGCTTGATTGTAAGTTTTTGGAAACTTTAAATATATGGCATATTAGTTTGGTCTTTTAAAATTCAAACTTTATGTAGGTGGTTGGTCAAGCATAAATTGTTTTAATTACCAAAGCAATTTAAACGGAAAATTCTTGATTTTTTTTTCTTTCAAGGTTCTTTTCATTTAAAAAAACAACCCAGGGAAATTTCAAGGTTGTTTCTGTGTTATTCTAAATACTTGACTTGACCTCTAGTTCCTCTGGAACTGTATGGAACTTTCCAAAAGAGATGGACTTAATGCTGGTCTGTTACCAACAACTGCTTCTATATCTGGAAGTCGGTATCATCCTTTGACTCATACAGTCATTGCTCCATCTCTGATTCCAGCACTCTGTTCTAAGGCTCTTTATGGAACAAAACCATCAAAACCAATAGAATGTTCAGACCTTATACTATTTCTATACTACTCTGGGCAACTGGACCCCAAATTTCCCATCAAAATTTTCTTAAGCCCATTCCAAGGAGTTCATACTTCACTCTTTGGGATTTTCTTCCCAGTGGTAAGCCAGGTTCTGGTGTACATTACCTCTCTAGACCTAAAGCTTGGTGGGACATTATGGATTTCCATATGTTTGCTTACAAAGCCCTTTTGTAGTTCAGGATGGAACTTGAATAGAAAGATGTGTTTGTTGAGTGCAGGCTAGGGGCTTAATTTTTTCCTTTGTCCTGCCCCTCTGCCTTTCAGGACAAGGGATGAAGCCAGTAAAAATAGGAAGTTAGAGGTGAAAGCTGCTCGTTTAAAGTCTGTTCCAGTTTCAACAAATGAGGTTTCTACAATTTTCTAAACATTTCCCACATTCCTCAGGAGCCTCCTTGCTTCACTGAAGAATGATCCTTAATTAATAGGATGTTGGGTAAAGAAAAGGAAAACCACATCTGTACCAGATCTTTTCCAGCTGCCTGCTCGTCAGTGCTGCTAAGTCAGTAAATAAAACAAAGGCAGCTAAAATGGATCCATGGTTCATAAAACCAGGAAGATTTCACTTTGCCAAAGCTTCCTCCATTCTTTTTCATTTAGTTAGCTGTTTGAATTTTAGTGTCAAAAGTCTTGGACATGTTAAAGCAGAAAACAAATAGTTGTGTGTATGTCTAAACGAGGCCCACTAAAACCACAACTATCTCGTTAGTCTTTCCTGTTTTGGCATTGTCTATTTTTAAGAAGAACAGTTTTTTTTGTACCTTCCTATACTTTTTCTTGCATTTTATTTTTTCTTTCTATTCTTTAAGTGCCTTTTGCCTCAAAGTTTTTTTTTTTTTTAATATATCTGGTAATGTGCCTGAGTTGAAATGTGTAAAAAAATTGTGGATAGTGGAATGCCATTTCTATAGCCTGGTTATGAGCAGAATTATAGATGGTAACTTAGTAATCATAAGCTACAGAGCAAGTGGTTTCTAGCACAGTAGATTAAAAAAAGTAGAGGGCTGGAAAGTTGGCTCAGTGGTAGAGTGCTTGCCTTGCATGCATGATGTCCTGGGTTCGATTCCTCAGCACCACATAAACAGAAAAAAGCCGGAAGTGGTGCTGTGGCTCAAGTGATAGGGCACTGGCCTTGAGCTGAAGAGCTGAGGGACAGCACCCAGGCCCAGAGGTGAGGGACAGCACCCAGGTCCAGAGTTCAAGCCCATGACCGACAAGAAAAAAAAGAAGAGAAAAGAAAAGAAAAGTAGAGAAAGGTCTAGCAAGGGGCTGGGAAGGTAGCTCAGTGGTAGAGTACTTGCCTCGCATGCATGATGCTCTGGGTTTGATTCTTTAGCACCACATAAACAGAAAAGGCCAGAAGTGGCCATGTGGCTAAAGTGGTAGTGTTAACCTTGAGCTGAAAAGCTCAGGGACAGTGTCCAGGCCTAGAGTTCAAGCCCCATGACCAACAAAAAAAGTCTAGCAACAAATTATAGACCGTTGTTATTTTAACTAGCAGAATAAATATTGTTGTGGTAGAGAATTTTCTAGAATCGATTTTACTTTTCAGTCAATTTTACTAGTGTTGATATGTTCACTTTTATCAACCAGCATTCAGTTAACAGAATAAAACTGGTCAGGATTCATTTGATGTTTTCAAAGGTAGAAACTATCTTTGTAGTTTCCTCCCACCCCTTTGAATACCACACTGCTGAGGTAAAAAACTTTGTCACTTGTGGGTGAGCTCAATAGGCCCAATTAAAATCTGACTACTTTGCCACCATGTTGAAATACCT